ATTATTGAGATATTAGCAAATTTATGATGCACGAATTTTTATTTAAGTTTGTATAAAGGATTTACAGAAAGAGTTTTTTAAAAATAACTCTAGTTTTATAAAACCAAATTAGTAATTGTCTTAATAAAATTTTGAAAAAATAGCCTCCAGAACTATAACTCTTCAAATTTTAACTATTTATAAATAATTTCAAATCAAATCAAATATTTAATCTTTCAATTTGAATTTGATTTGATTTGAAATCGATATTTGAATTTGATTTGAAATCAAATATTTGAATCAAATCAAATCAAATCAAATCAAATACAGAACTCTAATATTCTTCTGTACCATTCTCCTGAAATAAAAATGTATATATAGTTTTCAAACTTGTATTTGCTATATTGGCACTAACCACAGGTATCTCAAAGCTATCATTTGCATCTTCTAAGTCAGTAACAATCAGATCATTAGTTCTGAATGTTTCAACAAGCTCTGTAATAATTTGATCATCTGGAAAAACTTCATAAACAATATTTTCTTCAGCAATTACCAAAAACTCATCAATTTGCATAGGGTCAAGGAGGTCAAGAGCTTCAAGTATATCTGCAATGTCATCAAACACAGGGTCTGTAGTTTGATGTTGATCTTCCAAGAAACTTTGTAAATAAGAATCAGTGAGAATTTTTGTGTGATGTCAACAATTTCGAATTGTATTGATGCTAACTTCATTCTAACTTTGAATAATATAATAGATGGCTTGTAATACATTAATTTTTAGATCTTCTGCTTTCTCTCCTTTTCGACTTCTTGTAGCATCTAATTTAAAAATATACATAAATTCATATGTTTTATTAATTTAGATTGCACAAGAATTTTTTATTTTTTTTTTTTTAAAAAAAAAGCTTACCAAACATGAAGGTGGCGATTATATCTTTTGAAGCTCACAATAACTCTAGCATCCATAGGCTGAATTCTTGAAATAGTATTTGGCAGCAAAAATTGTAAATCTGTATATTGGAGATTAATATTATTGATTTTATGACTAGGCAGTTGTTAAGAAACAAAAGTACACGTTGGCCCTGATACTTAAAACCAACTTGGTGATCAAATTCTTTAATCCATTCTTGAAAGAGAGATGTAATTATCCAAGCTTTAATACTGCTTCTGTAATTTACAGGCAAATTACTAACATTGATATTTTTGAAGCAGCGTGGTTTTTTATATTTTCTGATTACAAGAGTATTCAATTTATATGAATTGTTAATATTTCCACAAAGTACAATTAAGAGGTGTTCCTTGTTTATTTTATATTTAGAAAGATGTTGAGTTGCCAATGTTCTATCAGGTTCCAACCTAAAGATAAAAGTTAGTAATATAATTAAAAAAAAAAAAAATACAAATAAGTGCTGCTAAGAGAAAATGTTCCAAAAGAATATTTTCTTTTAGCAGCATTTATATATGCCAAAAGGTAAAATTTGATAACAAAAACAAATAAAGACTTATAGGTTTATACTGATAAAAAAGACCAGTTTTGTTCATGTTATATATTCCTTCAACAGGATAATTTATACACAAATTTTTTAATATTGGCAGAATGTTGTTAATTGCTATCTCATTAGCAGATACAAATTTACCTTGAAGCAATCATAGATGAATATCATTTTGTTTTTTGAATTTATAAAGCCAACCAGATGAGAAATTTAAAGCTCCTTAAGGAATTTCCAAACTATCAACAAGTGCCTTCGCTTTTTCAATAAATAAAGTATCATTTAAAATTGTTTGATGCTAATAAATTAGCACAAACTTCTTGAGGGTGAGATTAAGTTCTGGGTAAGTGACAGTTTTGTAACACTTTGCATTAGAATTAATGATTTTATTTTCAAGACATTCTTCACTTGTTTTCAAAATATACGAAACTATACTTTTATTAATACTAAGATTTCATTTATTTTTAATCCATTCAACATATTGGGGCTGAGTTTTTTTATTATCACAAGCATAGATACAAAGCTTATATTTTTGCACACTTGTAAGAGTTGTTCTCTTAGACATTTTTTTTTCAAATAAAAAAAAAATGATTACATAAAATATAAGTTTTTATAACTTTTTTTATATATATAATCAAATGAAAATTTACAGTGAGTTTTTTTTTTGTCTCTAGTATACTATTTTTACAAATAAGCTAATAAAGTTTTATGCCATATGAAGTTTTGCTAAATTACATGTTTTAATTTGATTCTATATGCAAAAAAAAATCTATTGGGTAAGATCAAAGAAGGCTATTAGATTTATTAAGGTAGTATTTATAAAAGATATATAAAAGTAGTCATTAGAAGGTTGACTTTTATTTTTGTAATAATAATCATAAGTAGATTAATAATAAAGTTCGCATTGTAAAGATACATATTTACAAATAATATTCTATATAGAACTTGATCTAAGTTTTAGTTCTAAGCAAAAACCCAGAGTCGAACTAGAATCAAGATAAAATAGAAAATTACTTTAGACTACATAAAGTGAAAGATAATCTTAATATTTAATAATTTGAATTGAGTAAATCTATATTCAAGAATGTGTCTAAATTCAAATGATTAAATTCTCAATTATATACTCTTGCTGAATAGATCCTTATAAATGGACTAAAAAATTCTTGATGCCCAGGTTCTCATTTTTTACACTTAATTAAAAGTATATTTTTTTTATTGCTATTAAATTCATACGCATAGTTGTTAAAAGTAGTTAATAGTGATATATAATTAAAGAAATGATAGTATTATATTACAGTATTAAAAAAATGTTATAATCTTGATTTTGATTGTATTGTGCTATACCATAATACTGTTTTCTAAAATAAAAAAAACTTGATTTTGATCTTGTTGCACTGTACCGTAATACTGTTTTCTAAAATCGGATTATAAAAAAAAAGTCTTTGATTTTGATCTCGTTGCGTTTTACCATGGTACTATTCTTGTTTTTTAAAAAATAGATATTCAATTGTATTATTATAATCTCACCTTACCAGATTCAGTAAGGTGATTTTTATTGGTGAATGTATAGCTTATTTAAAATTCTCATGATAAATTCTTGTTTTTTAAGAAAAATTCACAATTGTAAAAAATCCAAATTATATAAGGTAGATATGCCTAATTTGGCGCACCTAAGTTCTACGATGAATACCACATGACATATCGATCAGAATCGATGATTTTGGTACCATTCGATTCGTCTCATCGAGACGAATCGAATGACACCAAAATCACCCGAATCTGATTACTCA